AAAATAAATACTGTTGTACTAAATTAGGATTTAATATCATAGAGAAAATAATACATAAACGAATTTATTCACAATTTCATATGATGGTAGTTAGATTTCACCCAAGAAAAGCTTGATAAATAGTTACGAGTATAATTTCTTCTTGGATGAAGCTTTTCTTCCATAACTTTGATAATAATAGAAGCTTTTATTCATTCATGTCCTTGGCAAGGTCACTTATTAGTCTCTGTTAAGTAAGATATAACAAAAGGAGGGTTTGAGTTTAATTTGTTTAAAGAAAATTAGTAATTAAAAGCAGCCTCTTTATTAATTTGTTGATGCATAGAAAGCATATGTCCTACCTGCAGCTATAGCTATCTTCAATATATATAAAGTTTTTGGTTTGTTGCAGTTGATTCATTCATCTTTAGTTCAAAGTAATTCTAGTAGGCTTTCTGCAGGTTGCCATGGACGTTGGAAATGTGGAGGAAGAAATTGCTGCCATTTCCCCTCCAACAATGGGGTCTATGCAGATTGCAGGCAGCAATGGTTTTGGTCACAACATAGATTTCATGTCCCAACCCTATCTCAGAAACAGATATTCAGAAATTGACATTGAGGATCATTCTCCTTATACCAATAAAGATCGTCCCCTACCCATCTTTCTCAAGGTAGTCCTTCTTCTTCATTATGTTGCATTGCGTTTTGATGTTCATTCCTGTACTAAAAAAGTTTTCTTTTCTTTCTTTATCATCATCACAAATGCAGTTTCAAGATGTTGAATACAAGGTTAAAAACCGGAATTCTTCTTCCGAGGTTAACCCCGTAAAGGCAGTAGTGTCAAAGGTAGGTTCACACCATGACAAATACAAGGAGATCCTCAAGGGGATAACAGGAAGCACTGCCCCTGCTGAAATTCTTGCTTTAATGGGTCCTTCTGGAAGTGGGAAAACTACACTTTTGAAGATTTTGGGAGGAAGATTGACAGATAATGTCAAAGGAAACATTACTTACAATGACATCCCTCACAATGCAGCTGTTAAGAGAAGGTTAATTTTGAAACAAAGAAAATGAAGAATATTTTTATCCTTGTTATCAACTGAATCTTAATAGTAATCTTATTTCAGGATTGGATTTGTCACACAAGATGACATACTATTCCCGCAATTGACAGTTGAAGAAACCTTGGTTTTTGCTGCATTTCTTAGACTTCCAAGTACCATGACCAAACAGGAAAAGTATGCCAGGGTAGAGATGATTATCAAGGAGCTGGGACTAGAAAGGTATACCTTATGTTTGGACAGAAAATTATGTCTTAGATTTGTTCTAAGCAATCTCTTTCGCATAAACATAGATGTCGCCACACTAGGATTGGAGGAGGGTTTGTCAGGGGAATATCAGGAGGAGAAAGGAAAAGAACAAGTATTGGGTATGAAATTCTTGTTGATCCTTCATTGTTGTTGCTTGATGAGCCTACTTCAGGGCTTGATTCGACTTCAGCTAATAAACTCCTTCAAATTCTCCAAGGAGTTGCAAAGGTAACATTAAATGGAACACATATAATTGGTTAGTACTAATCTAATATGGTGAAACATGCCGTTGTAACATATTAGTACTACTTTGTTCTGAAGATATTAATTGATGTTCTGCAGGCTGGAAGGACTGTGATCACAACGATCCATCAGCCCTCGAGCAGAATGTTTCACATGTTTGATAAACTTCTTCTCATATCGGAAGGCTATCCTGTGTACTTTGGAAAAGCAAGACAATCCATGGAGTATTTTTCGTCTCTGAGCTTCATACCAGAAATT